CGCGCACGGCTGCCAGTGACAGAGGGGCGAGGAGGAGACGGGCTGGGTGCCGAGGCGGGGCCACCCAGCCTCTTCCTGCTGGCCGGAGTGCCTGGGGCAGCCGGGGCCTGACGCAGAAGTGTTGCTGGTGCTTGGGGACAAGAAAAGGGAGGAAGGCGAGAGGAGGGGGTGAGCAGGAGCCAAGACCACCTCCCCCACAGCAGCCTGCTGGTGGTGACATCTGCTCATGGAAGGTCCCAGCCGGCACAAGGATGACCCCTGCATATTGGCGTCTGGCAACCTGGCTCCACGCTTTCCACCCGGGGTCCTCTCCTCCTCTCCGCCCTGCATGAGAGCAAGGCCTCACGTCCTCCCGCCTCCCTGACTTTGATGGTGAGGGTGTCCCTCTGCTCTTAGACTTTTTAACTCTTCTCAGGCCTCGAGGAGCCAATTCACACATTGGCTGCTGCCATCCTCCCTGGTCACCCAACCGGCCAGCTCCGCCACACCTGGTCCAGAGCCTTCACCTGCAATCAACACGCCTTGCACTATCCAGCCTTCTCTAACTGGCTGCCTTTCCATGTGTTTGCTTCTGATGACTGCAAGTTTCTGGAAGGAGCAGATCACTCTCATGTACTCAGCTGCTTCCCTGATGCCGGCAAGTCCTGTGCACAGATTGGTAGGAACAGCGCAGCAGCATGCTCTACGCGCTGGGCTCGGTTCTGAGCCCTTTGCCTGGATTAGCAGACAAGCCTCAGAATGGTATGAGATGGGTGTGATTATTATCCCTATTTTACAGAGGGCAAGACTGAGGCATAGGAGGTTAATGACTTGCTGGAATCATACAACTAGTAAGTGGCAAATCAGGAACTCGAACCCAAGCTCTCCGATTTTAGAGCCTGTGTCCAGAACACCCAAGATTGCTGACTTACGTTTGGAGGCTGGGGTGGCTGGGCTGGGGTGGGGGTGTCAATGGAGGGGAGAAGAATGATTGGGAATATTCACAATCAAACATCTATAATACTATTCCGTTTCTTGAAACTTACACTCAAACAATGGAATACTACACAGCTATATAAAATGATGAAGTTATGTACAGTCACAGCCTATATCTATTTTGAATACAAGTTTCATGAAGTATGAAAAATTGATCTCTAAAATGTCAGTGGGTACTCAACTATCTCTAAATAGTGGGATTTTCTGTGACTTTTTTCTTTTCCATAGTGTATATATTGTTCAACTCTTCAAGGAGTCTGCTGGGCTGTTGCCTACGGCAGGAAGACCATGAAGTCAATTTCATTCTAGGAGAAAAATGAAAGCAAAACAAAATAAAAAGAGGGAGAAAAAGAAGGGGCAAGGGGGAAAGCCATGAAATGTTTTTCAACAGAGGGTGTTTGAGAAAGATCACTGTGGTGACGATGCATGAAACAAAGATGGGATATAAACTATCACAGAATGAATGAAGACAACGATAATCACTAACATTCACAGGGCCTGAAGAAGCAATGTAGGAAGTTTAAAGCCTAGCTACCCCAGAGCAGCACTATTTGTCACAGTCAAATGCCTGCCAACTGATAAATGGAGAAACAAATCTCAGTCTATCCATACGATGGAATGTTATCAGCCAAGAGAGTGGATTCATGTTAAAAGACAGAAGAACCTTAAAACATTAGGTAAGTGAAAGAAGTATAATAAGCTCAAAAGATCATATACTGGATGACTCTATTTATATGAAATACATTAAGTCACCTACGTATGAACCTTCAAGTTACAAACTTTCAAAGATGCAAGTATGTGTTCCATCAATGCCAAGTGTGAGTGAAATTGCAGCCTGCCCTCCACCTCCTATGGCTGACGACCCTTCAACTCTACCATCTCCCACCTCCTCTCCCTCCTCCAGTCAGTAACTCTTCTTGCCTGTTCACTCGATGGCCAGCCTCTGTATGCCAGTGGTTGTACATACTAGTGTATTTTCAAGGTACTGTACTGTAAAATTAAATTGCTACTTTTTCATGTTTTTTTATGTATTATTTGTGTGAAAGGTATTATAAACCTTATAGTACAGTACAGTACTATATAGCTAATTGTGTTAGTTGGCATCTAGACTATGTTAGACTTACGAACATACTCTTGGGATGGGACTCCTTTGTATGTTGGGGACTTAATATATTCAAAATAGCTAAATTCACAGGGTCAAAAATCAGATTAGCAGCCAACAGGGCCTGGCAGGAAGGAGAAATGATGAACAAATACTTACAGGGATGGGGTTTCCTTTCAGGGTGATGAAAGTGTTTTGAAATTAGAGGTGACAATTTCCCAACAGCAGGAACGTATTAAATGGCACTGTATTGAACCTTCTAAAATGGTTAAGTTTATGTTTTATAAATTACCTCAATTAAAAAAAAAAATTCACTTAGCCTTTTATCCTAAAGTCCTCAGAAAATGGAAGGGCAAATGAGAAGAAGGAAAAAAGAAAGAAAGAAAGCAGCAGCAAATGAGGGAAACAGGACAGTCTAAGTAAGACTTGAGACCAAAGGGCAGTGGGGGGTTGTCTGTGCTCAGCCAAGGGTGGGCCCAGTCCCTGTCCCCAGGAGGAGAGCTCTCCAAAGACAGGCCTGGTCCGCGAGATGCTCTGCATTTTCGCCTTCCTCCCACGACAGCCCTACTTAGATCTGAGACGACGTGGATACCAAATGTTAGCTGGGGAAAGCTCCATCTGCAAGCCCGAGTAGAAATAGCAAGAAAAACTAAGGCCGAGGATTCAAATCCTTCATGACTGTATGCAGAACCTGCATGGAGACTCGCCCAACATCAGACACCCCAGATGGTGAGTGCCTGCTGCTTTGGCTGTCTCTTCTTCTGGACTAGGGGTCACTCACGGGCAGGGACCCTGCCTAGACCACGATACTGCACGCCCAGCCCTAATCATAGCCCCCGGTACAGAATCAGGGCCTGCATATATATGGGATTAAAAAAATGAATGTCCTCCATTTTAAGTATTTGATCCACTGACTTACAGTTTTAATGGGTAAAACACTGACACAGTACAAAATTCAAAAGGCTCCAAAGGCTCCCACTGTTCTGCTACAGCCCCCTTCAAGGCAATCCCGCACTGTCTCCACAGGGTCCATGTGACCAGTGCGGTGATATTCTGAATTGCCAAGGCTCCACCAACCAACCAGACTACCCAGTGACTTGGGTGTCTGGGCATGACCACCAGACGAAGCGAGGCGTGATGTCAAGGTGAAAGCTATCTGGCTGAAAACGCGGTCCCAGGATTCCGCAACAGGCGGAAGCACATGCCAGGGAGGCGTCGGCTGACAGAGGAATGCCGCTAGGTGACAGCCGTCCCCCCAGAGCCATTCGTGGCACGAGAAGAAGGCTGCGGGCAGGGGCCGTCTGCCCCGTCCGTCACGCCGGCCACCCCGGGCTCGTCACACCTGTTTCAGACACAAGCGAATTTCAAGCCGGGACCGGTTCTGTGGCCCCACGACAGGAGGAGAGCAGTCGTGCAAGCCCCACGCAGCCTTGGACGCCGAGAGGCTTTTAAGTGGGTTGGTTGTCTGGGAGGGGAGGGAAGTTCACCTTAAAAGAACTCAGTTGTGAGCTGCGTGGCTCTCTCCCTGCAGATGGGCTCCTTGGTGGAGGCGGTGGACAGAATGCAGCCAGCCAGGAGGGGAGGGTCCCTGGGAGTCAAAGCCCCTGGAGTGATGAAGAACCCGGGCCCACCCCAAGCCTGGGACGTGCCCTGGGGGTGCCCCTTGCGACAGGAACATCTGGACTCATCACTTCATCTGAGCCAGACTGCGAGGGGCTTTGTTTTTTTTGAAGCCTGAGTAACCGTCGCCCTGTACAGTCACCAAACCAAAGGCTAAAAAAAGATGGGAGCCACGCAGGCTCGTCTGTTCCCCGAGGCTCCTGCCTAAAGTGGCGGTGCGCCGGCAGGCTACAGGGTGAGCCGGGCGCCGTCCGACGTCAGCCAACCTGTTACAGTATTTCATTCCCTGTCCGCGTGCCCAGAGGCTGTTGCAACGCGTATAAATTTAGAAGAAGCAAGATAAATACCGTGGAAAGGTTCGTTTGAACAAAAGGAGTTGTTTTTCTTTCCTCCTTTTCTTTTTTACTCCACTGAAGAAGAGATAAAATGATCCTGCGACTGAGTTAGCCTCTTGGGGGGCAGATTTGGTGTTCTGGGCACCCTCAATAACGCATGAGCATGGCCGCCGACTATCCAGCTTCTCCCAAAACTGTAAAACAGTCCAGCTTCCAGCCTGAACGTCTCTTAGCAGCTGAGGGAATGAGGTGGCAACAAGATTTGTAAGCAACTGGGGTCTCCTCAGAATGAGCGAAAGACTCCACGTGAAGACAGCGTTTACTCTCCCTGAACGAAGCCTGTACCAGCTCACTCGACGCACCCTGGGCCGGAAGTCCCGGCTCACTCGACGCACCCTGGGCCGGAAGTCCCGGCTCACTCGACGCACCCTGGGCCGGAAGTCCCGGCTCACTCGACGCACACTGGGCCGGAAGTCCCGGCTCACTCGACGCACACTGGGCCGGAAGTCGCCAGTGCGCCAGGAGTTATGCCTCAATACTTGACATAAAATAAAACCAGCTTTACAAGGAAATTACTGTCACAGATGGGAGAATGGGGATCAGCGTAGAATCACACTGAAAACGAAACTGCCTGAGAAACGCTTGCCTTCTCTTACACACAGACTCACCCCCAGTGGGTTTATGGACCATCGGTAGGAAGTAAGCACTAGTGAATTCTACCACCATATTATGCAGCCTGATTCCCATTTGCAGAGAAGGAAACCAAAGTTAGATGAGGGGACGGAGGGCACATGGCTGCCAGTGAGGGGAGGGGGTGGCGGCAAGACCAGGTCCGCCAGCTCCTCCCAGTGCACACACCGCCTGTGTGTGTGTGAGAGAGAGAGAGACCAGGTCACCCAGCTCCTCCCAGCACTCACACCGCCAGCACCACCCACTGCCTGGAAGTCAACCAGACTCAAGGGTTGTACCTCCGACAGCATCTCATACTGGCCTCTTCTTCCAAGAGCGATGGTCAGCAAATCATAGACCACAGATGCGCTCTGTAAACTGATGAGACGGTCACTCTTGTGCTCAGGTATCCTGCTCAGCACAGCGTCCCGGTTGGCCTGAAAACAACACGGAAGGGAGAAGCAGATGGTGAGCTGGCAGCGCACACAGCTATCACTTTGTGCAAGGAAGCCGTTCAGGGCCTGCTGCCCCTGAGAGCTTGCCGAGGGCCTGGGGACGAGGGCGCGAGTGAGCGAGGGGTCGTTTACTCAGAATCCCCAGAGCGCTGCAGGACTCAGGAGGCCTGGAGGGCACTTGTCCGTGCTGGCAGGTGTCTGGAGGAAGCTTTAGGAGCTGATGCAAAGCACAGTGGTTTCTCCTGGGCTCAGGCTCACAGCCAGCCACGCAGTGGACACAGCTGCGCTTGGGGGCAGCAGAATCATCCATCAGATGAAGCCCTGCTGTGCCTCACTTATGGATCCTGCTTCTCCTCTACATGAAAGAGCAGGAGAAAATCCCCAGCCCCACACTTCCCATTGCCAAATGGTGTTATCAGGGCACATCAGTCCTACGGAGATGTGTCGTCCTTTTCCTCTCTCACCCAAGCAACATTCGAATCTCTGTATGACAGCGTTACAGGAAAAGACGACAAAGACTCATTCAACCTTGTTCAGGGAAGCACAGAACAGAAGCAGAAGAGAAAGCAAGAAGCAAACAGACTTTTATTTTAAAAAATGTCAGCACAGAGGACTCAGGAGAACAAGGAGGCATGTCTATTTCACACCCCCACTGCTCAGCACAGAAAGACCGCAGGCGCATTCAAGCTTATTCATCTCATTTATCTAGAAATCAACTGCTCTCCATGGCAACTTGCTTTCATTACTTTTGCAATTACTCCACCAATTCCTCCAAACACATCACATGTACTGGAGACTCTAAACGTAGCTCAGTTTCCTTTTCTCCCTAACAGGGAGTTCAGTACCAACAAAGTAAGACTTTGCCGGTCTTCTTTTCCCTTCTAATTAACAGAAGTCTCCAGACCTATCCATCCCTAGGAACACAGAAAGGGCCCATCCATTTTCCCTGTGAAACTGGCTCTCAAGGGACCAGAGTCACTGGTCCAGGCAGCCCGACATTTACCTTCCAGCCTGACACTTAGAAAGGCCATGCACACACCTTCTCACTCACTAATGAGATGGATGCTTTCTTTTGTGTGAGTCCAAGGCATTGACTTGTAGCCTCCTGTCAGTACTTACTCATTTTAAAACTCCTTCCTCTTAAATGTCAAAGACAAATAAGAAATATATAAGACAGGCCACTTCCTACAAAGTGAGTCATCTCTTATGGAAACAAGTCTGCTTTTGAAAATCTCATTGTAAGTTTTTCTGGTTAGAAATGCCTTTGGAGCCAACAAAAGAAGCTGTGAGGAAAACAGGGCCTGATATCAGTGGTCTCATTTGATTTATTTGCTCCAAATGTTCCATATTGAGACCAACCTGGGAGAGAAGGGAACACAACAAAGCATCATGTAAGAAAGATTTTCAGGTTATGCCAAACACATTCCTTTTTTCTTTTTAAAGAGAAAGTCTATCAGTGCCTTTTGATTAAAAAGGTACAATCAGAATCTCAAGCAGGTCTACAAATAATAAATAGCCCAGAATGCTGTCTCAGTAGTAATCATGCTAAAATACAATTCTGATAACTCCCTTCTCCTGGAAAAACTAATTTGATTTGAGGTAAGAACACAGTTCAACTCCAAATGAGTTCTTGTAGGCAGAGGGACCATTGACAAATTTATGTTTCTAAGTTAAGATCAGGACCAGAGGAGACTACAATTTTCTCAGACAGACACACACACACACACACACACACATACACAACACAGCAATTCTCATTTTGGTTCTGAAATTGAGCACATCTATTTTCTGTCTAAAAACTGAAAAAAAAAAAAATCAAGGGACATGAAAAAAGGCTTCCAAAGGCAACTTAATTTAGATTTCTACCTACGTAACCATGGAATGATTTACTGAGAGAACATAACCGTCCTGGTTGGCAAACCCCGTCCTTCTTATTTACTGTCATCATTTGGATTTCATCATCCTCTGAAGAGATTTTCTGGAAACTGAATATGACAGAGTCGAATTTGACTGCCTCAAAGGGATCCGAAATTTGAGTATTATTAGGGTCTGTCACTGCAGTGAGGGAGCAGGAGGGTTAGACATCACTCCCAAGACATCTACTCTAAGAGCATGCATTCTAGAGATGTTGCCAGCTTTCCCAAATTCCAAACTGGAACGCACACAGCCTGACAACAGAACACAATATTTTCAATCAGAATTGTCCAAGAGATCGAAAGTGTATGGTCACCATGCTTTCAGAACTGTTACATTATCACTAACTGAGTTTGCCCAAAGGAAGCTAAATGCCAGGTTGTGAAGGGCCCAGAGAGGAGGAGGGGATGGCAGTGAGCACTCCCACCCACCCGCCACGGAGCTGACGACGGGGCACGGTGAGATCTGCTCGTCTGAATACCAGTTACAGGAGGCCACTGGGTGCTGGCCTGTGCACATATGTGCCTCCACCACTGTGCCAAGGCGGAGGAGAGGATGTAAATGACACCATCCGAAGTCACCAGCTGACAGTCAAGGAAAGATGAGCCATGGAGGCGACCTGTATCCTTCAGAGGAAGTGGGGCCAATGACGTCAAAGGGCTTCCAAATAAAAAGATGCGGTAACTCAAGCAGTCTCACTCTTGTAAACATCTCAGGGCCATCTCACAGAAAAAGAAAACCCAAAGCTCTAAAGTAAGGCAAGAAAGCTACGCTCCACGCCCAACCGCAGCCTCCTCTGCCCCGTCTTCACTCAGCACGGTTTCTACGTCTTCTCCCCGGAGGATGTCTCTCGCCTCCACTTAAACCGTGAGCTTAGGACGGTTTCTACGTCTTCTCCCCGGAGGATATCTCTCGCCTCCACTTAAGCTGTGAGCTTAGGAGTAGGGGGACCACCTTCTCCTGCTGCAGTTACGCCTCCTTTTCCTCCTGTTTGTGCTCCTGTCTGCCCAGCAGGTTGGGAGTTTTGGAAGGGAGACAGGGCATCCGCTAGAAGGAACAGGAGACCGCTGAAGGAGGCCTGCCGTCCCTCGTCTAAATGAGGTGGTGGACACAAGGACCTTCCAAGCCCGGGGCTTGCTGTGCTGCTCAGGTGCCCAGCACACATCATGTATGTGCCAAGGTATTAACTGCCATGACACATATTACTCTGGCGTGCTTCAAGTTGAGCCGTCACGCCTAGCGATGTGCTGAGAAGAAACCCAGTAAATGATGAACGATGAAATTCTAGACCTAAACTCGATCTCCTGGCCAAACACTAAGAAAACATTTCAAAGGAATCTGATGGTCTGGCAAAAACTCCCTCCCGACAGTGGAGCTGGGTAACAGAGTGGGCTCTCCTGGCCTGGGACTGTGCAATGCCTGGGGATCAGGTGGGGGCTGGAGAGAGGACCTGGGCGGAACACAAGGCAGCTTCATCAGGCTGCTGCTATGGAAACCAGAGGTTCAGTACAGCCAGTGTTTCACCCCCAAATTCTCCCTCCCACCAAGGCAAATGAAGAAGGCTCATAAAGGTTTACCCTTGAGGGCTTCTCCCCGCCCCCCAGTTAAGGTTCCGCTGATGGGCGTTTTAGCTATAGTTCCCCATATACAACTGTGTTCTTGTTCAATCAGTACTTTGTGTATAAATGAATGAACTCAGATGCCTGCTAATTGCTAAGGGAAAGAGAAGTTTCATGCGTCAGGCCAACCCAAGGGGCATTTCTAGCCAGCCCAAGAATTAGACACATCTCTCTTTAAACCACTGTAGTTATTTTTCCCACCAGGTGTCCCCTTCAGAAAGTACTCTTCTTGTTTCTGCAAAGAAAAAGAGTCTCTATCCTGACCGAGTCACCACATCAGAACAGGGACTAAGGGAGCAGGGAAAGAAAAGTGCAAGAATACATCCTACTCACCATCGACTCACTGATCAGCAGCAACAACAGGGCTTCTTCAGTATTTTCTTGAGGACAAAAAACGCTGCATAAAGAAAATTCACTTTGATATATGGCAATTCAAAGTCACACAAAATACATGACTAAGAACAGGACTGAATGCTAACAGCTTCTAGATTTTTATATCATATAGAAGCCATAAAAAATGCTGGATAATCTGGACACTTGAATTAATTTGCTTACTTCTGTGGTAATCTATGGAATTTATACATTTTAACTATGCATTTTAATAGCAGGTAACAGGGTAAAGCTGTAGAAACCAAGTTAAAAGCCCAAATAACATTTGTGACTATTATAAAGGCAGAAATTTTGATCAGTACAAACTGACATTGTCTAAATAACACAGACTTTCTCCTAAACCCATTATGAGTTATAACCCGCAGACATTTCACTACATGGTACTCTTCTCATGTCTTACTTGCTAGCTGGTATATTGTATATTGTCATTTCAATGAATAGGAGATTGGAAGCAATTTTAGAGTTTGAATAATTTCTGGGATACTGTAAGATACTAGGATACTGCTAAGTGAGCTATTTTACAGAAACACACATGCCAAATTTTGGGGTAGCATGCAAGAACTGTCTTATTAATTTTATGGAATTTGGCTAGACTCAACATCTTGAATTAAAAGGAAAGGCTTTTAAGCTCAATGTTGCTCAGGATTAGAGAACAATATAAACCAAATGTAACTCTGATCTCCATTCTCTATATCATATTTTTTGTGATTTGAGCATTTTAAAAGACTTCCCACATTTTTCTCCATTCTAAAGCTTTAGAATCCTTGAGTAGAACTGTGAATTGCATCACAAGTTGGGCCAAACTCAGCCCTTTTGTGGAATGCTAGAAGAATGCAGGAAGAATGCACTTGGTTAAGGACTTCTCTGCTGGTTCAGTGGTTAAGACTCCACATTCCTACCGCAGAGGCACAGGTTCAGTTCCTGGATGGGGAACTAAGATCCTGCATGCTGTACAGCATGGCCAAAAAAAAAGAAAAGAAAAACTTAAAAAAAAAAAAGTTAAAAAAGAAAAAAAACCCTGGATGTTTTGGAGAGGACTAAATAGAGACTAAATTTACACCTTCCCAGGCATACTATTATATCTAACTTAAGAGAAGGGATGAGGCCCCCTGCTGCCCCCAAATGGTCAAGAAACGTTTTCCAAATGATTCTAAATTCTTGTGATTTAGGCACTTGTGNGTGTGTGTGTGTGTGTGTGTGTGTGTGTGTGTGTGTGTATCCCCATCCAGCCATCAGTTCCTGACATTCTAGTTCATGTTCACATGCAACTGGGACCTCACGAAAAAAGCAGTAACATTAAGCTTTTTTTTTTTCCCCATAGCTAGCCAGTTCTGCATTGTCCAGACTAATTGAAAAGAGAGAGAGCCCATGCTAATTGTGACTTAATACCAGCAAATTGAGTCCAAAATAATCCCCAAATTCCATCTGAGTCGTCTAGGCTGCTTATATGCGAGGTTGTGTTATTTTAGCCAGAAATGCTAATAAGTAGCACTTTTTTTTTTAAGTCACTCACTCACTCTTTGTGACCCCGTGGAATGTAGCCCACCAGGCTCCTCCGTCCATAGGATTCTCCAGGCAAGAATGCCGGAGTGGGTTGCCAAAAGTAGCACATTAACTGATCCTAATTCTGCTTCCTCTACCCTCTACCCTTTTCAAGGCAGGCAAGATGGGTCCCCAGGGGTCCTTTTGTGATGTTGTCCTCTTAGGGCCCAAGAGTGTCAAGGGAAGGTCCTGGGCCCCCAGGCCTCAGGCTGTGGAGCTGGGAAACTCCAGCCTTAGATCTGGAGGAAGGTGATGGAAGAACTGCTCCTTCATACCTTTGGTTCTGCCAAGTAGTTACCAGACCCTTCAGTGTCCCTCATCGCTACCCTTCAAACAGCATCCTCATCCTTCCCAGAAGCCTCTGAACTGGCTGCCAGGAGGCTCAGACCTGCATTTAGGATGCCAGGACAATTACTTTCTCCTCTGAGGCCTACACAGGAGTTTAGCACAATGTATGGCGCTCCTAGTGTTAAAAAAATCATCATCCACTTCCTGGCACAAACTAGTGCTTTCTAGCCTCCTTCTTTACTTTGTGCTAATTATCTAATCTAATGTGCATTTCCTTATCAAACCACTTCAAGTGCTTCTTTCAAGGAAGAATAGAATGGAAGAAAGAAAATGAAACAAAAGGCATCCATGTCAGGAAGAAGTAAAACTGTATGTGCAGCTGACGTGATCTTGCGTATAGAAAATCCCAAGGGATCTAAAAAACTATTAGAACTAATAAATCAGTTCAGCAAGACTTCAGCATACACAATCAATATAGACAATCGATTTTATTTCTATATACTTGCAATAAACAACCCCAAAATGAAAGCAATAGTAACAATTCCATTTATGATAGTATTGAATAGCCGACACACACCAGAACACCCTTAGCATAAGTTTACAAAAGAAATGCAAACATTATACCTTGAAAACTTCAAACTGTTGTCGAAAAAAAGAAAAATAAATGGAAACACATGTTATGGTCATGAAGACTTAATATTGCTAGGATTGTGTGCCTGTGTGCTAAGTCACTTCAGTCGTGTCCAACTCTTTGTGACCTCATGGACTGCAGCCTGCCAGGCTCTTCTATCCATGGGACTCTCCAGGCAGGAATACTGGAGTGGGTTGCCATGCCCTCTTCCGGGGGAATCTTCCCGACCCAGGGATCGAACCCATGTCTTTTAAGTCTCCTGTATTGGCAGGGGGGTTCTTTACCACTAACCACCACCTGGGAAGCCCTGTTAAGATGGCAACACTCTCAAATTAATCTACAGATTAAATTCATTTCCTATCATAATCCTAGTTGCCCTGTATTTTTTGCAGAAATAGACAAAATGATCCTAAAATTCATGTGAAAATATAAGGGTTTGGGGGGAAGGCAGGCTAAGGGGTGCTAGGTTTATTTGGGGGGGATAATAAAAATACTCTAAATTTGACCATAGTGATGAGCAATGTGACTATATTAAAAGCTATATTAAAGTGCATTGTACACTTTAAATGAGTGAATTGTATAGCATGTGAATTAGATCTCAACAAAACATTAATAAAAATGACTGTGTGTATTTGTGTGAAATGAAATTTGTGTCTTAATAACCATTCACAGTATGGGAATCTTCTAACTAATAACTACATTTAACTCGATCTATGTTTTGCCTCCATAATTCTTGTACAGATGGGGAAGCTGATGTGCGGCAAAGACTGAGTGGTTCCAGAAAGCAGGGAGACATGGCCGGCACTCGGAGCTTTTCTACCTTCAAGGGATGAGGCCACGCTGGAATAGTACCCAGACAGACACAGAGCTTCATCCACATGTCAAACTTGACTGGGGGAGGAAGCAAGAGCTGGAGTCCTCAATATACAGGCACTTATGAAGCAGCTAAAGCAGAGGAAAAATCTAGGGTCTATTTTTAAGATTTAAAAACAGTAACTAAAAAAGAACCTCAGTCCTGCTGCTAAATAGCTCATAATAAGGGGTCAGCATTTTAAAAGTGAGAGTTTGAGAATTGCTAGAACAGATGTTCTATGAATCCAGATAAGGAGTAAGGAATGCAGGAAAAAGTTAAGAAAATGCTCACTAGTCTGAATCCATACAAGAAATGCAAATTGAACAAGATGACAAGACAGAGAAAGGCTAGGGTCAGTTTAAGAAGACTGAGAGGCAGTGGCCAGTGGCCACAGGACTCGAAAAGGTCAGTTTTCATTCCAATCCCTAAGAAAGGCAATGCCAAAGAATACTCAAACTACAGCACAATTGCACTCATCTTACATGCTAGCAAAGTAAGGCTCAAAATTCTTCAAGCCAGGCTTCAACGATACGTGAAACATGAACTTTCAGATGTTCAAGCTGGTTTTAGAAAAGGCAGAGGAACCAGAGATTAAATTGCCAACATCTGCTGGATCATCAAAAAAGCAAGAGAGTTCCAGAAAAACATCTATTTCTGTTTTATTGACTACGCCAAAGCCTTTGACTGTGTGGATCACAATAAACTGTGGAAAATTCTTAAAGAGATGGGCATACCAGGACACCTGACCTGCCTCTTGAGAAACCTGTATGCAGTTTTCGGGAAGCAACAGTTAGAACTGGACATGAAACAACAGACTGGTTCCAAATAGGAAAAGGAGTACATCAAGGCTGTATATTGTCACTCTGCTTGTTTAGCTTATATGCAGAGTACATCATGAGAAACTTGGAGCTGGAAGAAGCACAAGCTGGAATCAAGACTGCCGGGAGAAATACCAATAACCTCAGATATGCAGATGATACCACCCTTATGGCAGAAAGTGAAGAGGAACTAAAAAGCCTCTTGATGAAAGTGAAAGAGGAAAGTGAAAAAGTTGGCTTAAAGCTCAACATTCAGAAAACTAAGATCATGACATCTGGTCCCATCACTTCACGGCAAATAGATGGAGAGACAGTGGAAACAGTGTCAGACTTTATTTTTGGGGCTCCAAAATCACTACAGATGGTGATTGCAGTCATTAAATTAAAAGACACTTACTCCTTGGAAGAAAAGTTATGACCAACCTAGACAGCATATTAAAAAGCAGAAACATTACTTTGCCAGCAAAGGTCCATCTAGTCAAGGCTATGGTTTTTCCAGTGGTCATGCATTGATGTGAGAGGTGGACTATGAAGAAAGCTGAGCGCCAAAGAATTGATGCTTTTGAACTGTGGTGTTGGAGAAGACTCCTGAGAGTCCCTTGGACTGCAAGATGTAACCAGTCCATCCTAAAGGAAATCAGTCCTGAATGTTCATTGGAAGGACTGATGCTGAAGCTGAAACTCCAAAACTTTGGCCACCTGATGTGAAGAGCTGACTGCTTGGAAAAGACCATGATGCTAGGAAAGACTGAAGGCAGGAGGAGAAGAGGACCACAGAGGATGAGATGGTTGGATGGCATCACCGACTCGACGGACAGGAGTTTGAGTAAACTCCGAGAGTTGGTGATGGACAGGGAGGCCTGGCGTGCTGCACTCCATGAGGCCACAAAGAGTCAGACACGACTGAGCAACTGAACTGACGGACTGACTGAGAGGCAGTTACCCTGAGAAGCCCTGCCCCCCGACGCTGCAGAGCGATGCTCAGAAGCCTCACCCGCGATAACCCTCCAGCCCCTTCTCTGTCAGCGCTCCCGGGGCCTCAGAGGCAGCAGCCTGCGGGCTCTCAGCCATCTCCCACTGCACAGTGACTAAAGAAGCTTTCCATATTTATTTGTACATGTTCCTCTCTCCCTCATGGCGAGGTTCTGAAAAGCCACGGTGTCTTGGTCTTGTAGGAACAAAGACGGGAAGGAAGGCTCCGAGGGGAGGTTCCTGTCTTCCTGTCGCCTCGGGGTCTCGCTCTGTCTCCCGCCTACTCCTTCCCTACGGGGAAAGCCCAGGTGGAGCCACGCGTGGACCCTTACCCCATCATCCTCAGAGGTGATCCACAGTTTCACTGAAAACAGTGAACACGCTCTACAGAGACATCACCTTTCAATCACTTGTAAATTATTAATCATTTGTTAATGAGTTAATTCTTCTTATAGCTAATTCTGTTTAAAACAAAATTTTAAACAAAGATCAAGGAGTTGGTGAGGAAAAGAAAAAAGTGAACTCTGGCTTACTAATAACTTTGTACGATGCTGAAGTTCTTATAATAATCTGAATGAAAATCCCAAAGACCAACAGTGAAGGCTGATAATAGCAGCCAAGCTATTCTAGATAAGAATGAGAGCATTTTCCCACTTAAAAGGTCCCCACTAGTGCATGGATTTCACTGAAGTTATGAAAAGTAAAGAGGTATCTTTATTAAACTCGTAAATTAGACTTGCTTGTCTGGTTCTCTTTCAGGGGAGAAAAAAATCTGCCCTCGAACGTCTCTGCATCCTTGTGTGTGTGTGCGCTAAGTCCTCAGTCGCGTCCGACGCCTTGTGACCCCGTGGACTGCAGCCAGCCAGGCTCCTCTGTCCGTGGGATTCTCCAGCGAGAACGCTGGAGTGGGCTGCCGTGCCCCCTCCAGGGGGTCCTCCCGACCCAGGGCCGGACGCTGCGAGTCCTGCAGCTCGTGCACTGGCGCCGCCCGGGGGGCCCGAGGCTTCCCTCCCGCCCCCTAACCTACGCGTGAGGACGCCAGCTCCCATACTTCTCTCCTGAGTAGACGCGGGCTTTCCGGGTGAGGGTGTAGGTTTTCGTGTTTGCTCCTTTCCGGAGAGGATCGTCCAGGGGTGACTGGCATGGCGGATCCTCCAGAGGGTTCCAGTAGCTCTGTTCACACATACCCCGCAACAAGATCTCCGCCAGCTGCCTGGCTATTGTCTGGGGACACAAAGGAGCAGAGGGACAGCCGTGAATCTATTTCGGATCATTCACTCATTCGTTTGCTCATTGAGCAAATATTTTTCAGCCATCACTTTGTCATCACTATTCGAAGACTCGTTAAAAATTTTTACTCCTATGATGAAAATTCTCCAGTTGATGACAAAAAAAAAAAAATATGATACACTAAGATACTTGAAACATTTAAAAAACAGATAACCTCATGCCCTTCAAATGCTGCCCTGCTTCCGTTATATTCTGGAAGACTAAACATGTTTAGGACCTGAAATTTTTAGTTAAGCTCTTTTCCAAAAGCTCTTGTATTAACTAAATAATAGGTGAACTGCAAATATTTTCATCACTGTCCAACCAGTGCCTGCTAAAGCCCGAAGTTGGCAGAAAGCCAGAACTCAACCTAGATGATGTAATCCCTGAAAAAAATCTCTGTTGATGATAAGAGGATGTCCGGTGCAGATTTTTAGAATGTCTTCCTTCTTAGGCAAGCCAGAACAAGTCCTCCGTGTCCCCGCCCCGGCCCTCGGTACCCGAGGCCTTGCCCTGTCCTTCCTGCACCCTGGTCTTCCGGCCCAAGGGCAGGGAGGGTGCAGTGGGAGTACGGGCACTGACCCAGAACTACATTTTCCCAAAGCTGGGTAGATATCTCTTTTCCCACTATGAAAACTCAGAAACGTCTGAGTCTCGTCCTCCCGGGTTAGATGCAGATCACTGTTTCCCTAACGCGGTCACTCTGCTGCCTAGGGCAGCACCATGCGTGTGTGTGTCCTGCGGCACTTCTGTCCCGTCCGGCTCCTTGTGACCCTCTGGACTGGGGCCGCCAGGCCCCTCTGTCCACGGGATTCTCCAGGCAAGAAGCCTGGAGTGGGTTGCCATGCCCTTCTCCAGGGAGGCTTTCCCACCCAGGGATGGAACTTGCGTCTCTTAGGTCTCCTGCACTGGCGGGTCCTTCACTGCCAGTCACCGGGAAGCCGGAGCAGCTCCGTGGGCGAGGTACCGGGGGCAGAAGACAGGGCAGCTACTGAGAAATGTGTTAACTAATGTCCTCATCATCTCCCAGTGACAAAGAGGAGAAATTAAAAAAAAAAAAATCCCTCTGAAAATAGAAGGACTGCATTGCAGGGTGATCCAGGCGACCTCACACTCAGCCAGAGGCAGGGAAAGAACACGTCAGCCAGCAGGTTTTCCACAAGGTTTTAGTGTTCTTCGGAAGAGGCAGGCAAAGGGTACTGATCTTTCCTAAGAACAAGACTTTTTAAATCACTATGTTCCAGAAAAGAACTTTGCGAGGCTTTCATCCGTGAGAAATCTCTTAAAACACCACAAGGAAACCTAAATGCAACCCAATTACTAGCTCAGTGGTTCCTGATAACCACTGGGTAAAGGCAAATTTTCTTCATTATTCCCAAGTAAGAGCCACTGGCTTTAAATGTCTATAAAAATGTGAAATTAGATGCACTCAGATCATCCCCAACTGAGCCATCTGTAAAGATCTCATAAGAACACGATTTTCAGCACCTAAACAGTTCCTGAACCGTTTTCTTAAACCTTCCATTATGGCCTTGTTTTGATCTCACTGCAGTCATATAAACTAATGACTTTTGCTGGAAGCATCAAGTGGCAAGAATAACCTCCACTCGCTCTAGCTGAGGGGAAAAAAAATGTTAAAGGGGAAAAATGAACAGGAACTTCACATTGTGGATGTATCTGCCACAGAGGGATTCTAAGGTAAAAGTCTCTGTCCTCAAGATAGTCTGCTTGTCCGCTGCTGGACAGCTCACACCAGACCTCATTTTCCCTCAAGTATTAACCTTCCGGAGAGAGCTTTTCTATGAGGTTTTGATGTGATTGCATATATTAAAGGAATCAGCTCATCATGCACCTCCCGTTAGGAAGGATGTTGGTTATATTCACTGAAAGCACAAATGAAGTTCAGAGGAGATTGAATAGGAGAAATTATCAGCAAGATCACTAATGTCTATGATACCTTTTATGTTTTATACTCAGGACATATATAGTTTGTAGTTTAAATGCCTAAAAATTGTTGATAACTATCAAATATATTTCAAATGAAGGGAAAGAAAGGAAGAAAGCTGCCTGGAAGAAGAACTTGAACTTCTTTGTACAAATTTGGTCATTAAATGCACTATTTTTTTCTTGCATGTGTTTTTAAACTGTGATAAACTTCACATAACATAAAATTCACCATTTTAAAGTGTACAATCCAGTGGCATTTAGCACATTCACAGTGTTGTACAACCACGGTCACTGTCTAGATCCAGAACACGCTTGACCCTACAAGGAAAGCCCACACCCTTTGAGAAGGCACTCTCCATCCTCCCTCCTCCCACACCCTGGGAGCAATGAGTCTGCTTCCTGTATCTGTGGGTTTGCCTAGTTTGGGCATTTCATATAAAGGGAGCCGTACAACACGTGGTCTTTCTGTGTCTGACTCCGCTCACTCAGCATGTTCTCAAGGTTTATCCATGGAGCAGCATGAATCAGTCCTTCATTCCTCTTTACAGCTGAATGATATTCCACTGTATTCTGTTTATTCAGTCATCGGCCGGTAGACACTTGAATTGTTTCCACCTTCCGGCTACTGGAAGGAGTGCTGCTATGAACATTCATATACAAGTTTTGGTTTGAAAACCTGCTTTCAATTATTTGAGTATGTATCTAGGAATGGGGTTGCTGTAAATGTACTTTTAAATCCTTCTCTGCTATAGTTTCACACCAGAGTTTACAAAGCAACTTTTCCGTCTCATAAGGATATCATAAATTTGCAACTATCAGCTAATCGAAGAGAAATCATACAGCAATTAAGAAACACTGCCTTAGAGAAGAAGAAAAATCATATGACATCCTTTATGTGCAGAACCTAAAAAGAAATTATACAAATGAACTTATTTACAAGACAGAAACCAACTCACAAACTTAAAGAAGGAACTTAAGATTGCCAGTGGGTACCAATGAGGGGAAGAGATAGTTAGGGAGTTTGGGATGGACATTTACACACTGCTGTGTTTACATGGATCACCAGCAAGGACCTGCTGTAAGCTCGGTGTCAGGTGGCAGCCTGGATGGGAGGGGAGTTTGGGGAAGAATGGGTACATGTCTGTGGATGGCTGAGTCCCTTCACTGTCCTTCACTGTCTGAAACTATCACAACGTTGTTAATCAACTATACTCCAATATAAAATAAAAAGTTTAAAAAAAAACACAGTCACACACACACACACACAAGAAACCTTGTCTCATGAGTGGCAATAGCTAGAGAAGCTTTCTCACGTCCAGTGGAAACCAAAAGACGCCAGTGAAGATGTCCCAGGAAGTGTTTCTCAGCTGGGCTGGGCAAAGAGTCACTTATGGAAACTAGAAAATACAGGTTCTTGTGTCCAGCCACAGGCTGGCATTCCCGAGGTCAGGCACAGGGATGTGTATTTGTCCAGTCCTCAGATGTATCGGATGCACACCTCTGGTTGAGCACTCAAGGAATTAGAAACAGTTTAATTTAGGTCACTCGTGGACCATCAACCAAGACCAAAGGTGTGCCTGCAACTAAAGTGTGACACTGAGTGGGAAGTGCCCCCTCATGTTGAACGTGAACGCGTCCGTCGCTCGGTCGTGTCCGACTCTTTGTGACCCCAGGGACTGTAGCCGCCAGGCTCCTCCGTCCATGGGATTCTCCAGGCAAGGACACTGGAGCGGGTTGCCATCTCCTTCTTCAGGGGGTCTTTCCAATTGAGGGATCAAACTCAGGTCTCCTGCATTGTAGATGGATACTTCACCGCGTGAGCTACCAGGGAAACCTGTGTTAACACTGACCAGTTAGTTAAAGCTGGAAGTGTCCAGGGCCAGCTTCAGTCCTCACAGGCTTCCTTGAGAAGTCTCTTCACTGGGTTTCTCAGGAACAAAAAAGAAGAAACCACTCTTCCTTCCTAACATATTTCTGGCCAGAATCCTACCTCAAAGGATTTTTATAAGTTAAAATACATTGATTTGAAAATCATAAACCATACACAGTAATAGAAAATATTCTCTAACTCTGAAAAATAATGTTGGCATAAGCAACAGGCAGATTCCTACAGTGCAGTCCATGTACACACATCTTTTAATGAGGAAGAACCATTCATTTCCTTAATGAAATATGTATTTTTTGAGAGTCTATATTTAAGAATTTTGAAAGATTGGCTAAGTGAGCTTTTAAAACAATTACAAGAACACTTGCCAGTACTCTTTTATGCTTTCAAATCTTTTAAGTTGTTCATGCTGACCAGTTGGGAAGTTTTATGGAATGTGGGGAGGAGGTCAATTTGAGAGAAAAGACATGTGGCAACAATTTTTATCCATATTTTTGCAGGGTTTTTTTTCCCTTAAAGAGCTGTGTTGATCAAAAAATGTTTTCTTTGAACTTCTGAGGGCACCGATAAATCATACCAACACATAAATAAATATCAAAGGCCAAGTGAGTTTTTGGTGATGTGTGTGTGTGTGTGTGTGTGTGTGAAGTCACCCATCTTGTCTTATCTCCAATAATTCTGGGCCTCCCAGGTGTCACTAGTGGTAAAGAACCTGCCTGCCGACACAGGAGACTTAAGAGACACAGGTTCAATCCCTGGGCTGGGAAGATCCCCTGGAAGAGGAAATGGCAACCCACTCCAGTATTCTTGCCTGGGAAGTATGGACGGAGGAGCCTATTAGGCCACAGTCCATGGGATTGCAAAGAGTCAGACACGACTGAGGAGACTTGGCCCTGTAATCCTAGGAGAGCCTATTGGCTGAGCCCCCAGGACCTGTGAGTCGTGCGTCCACATCCTAATGTTCTGGAGACGCCAAAATGAAGACGCAGCCTCACTTCCCACGACGGGAGAGGCTTAGCCTTGTCCAGCTGAACACTCACAGCACTTAAAGGATTCCCGAGGGACTTCCCTGCGGGTCCAGGGTGTTAAGACTCCAGGCGTACACTACAGAGGGCGTGGGTTCAGTTTCTGGGCAGGGAATTTAAGATTCCACATGCCACGTGGTGTGGACAGAAAAATGAAAACCCATGGTAAAGGACACGTGATAACGGGCAGACCACAGCACGGATGACAAAACGCCAACGCTCGGCGGCGCTGGCTCTGAAGGGCACGCCGTGAGGTGTAATGGTGAGCCTCCCGGGCAGGAGAGTGAAAGCTTTAACAGGAAGGCGAGAGAACTCAAGTCCACAGGGGAGTCAAGCTGCTGATCAGCCAGTGTATTTAACTAGCTTTCCTGTTTCTGGGTTTATGGTCAATGTAGCTGAACAGCTAGGAAGCCCTAGGATCTGACGCCTCTGCCCTGTCTGGGGTGGGCACGAGCCTTCAGCGCACAGCCACACGGGCACCGGCAGGGCCTCGTGCTAACTGCCACACGCGGCGCACGCCTCGTGGTTTAACAGAGCGAGACCGAGAAGCGAGTGAAAAGATGTCCGTCACCAGCCGTCAGGGAAATGTAAGTCGGAACCGCAGTGAGATGGCACTGCTCGCTCACGGAGGATGGCTAGCGCTGAAAAGAAACGACAAACAAGTGCTGTCAAGGATGTGGGGAAACTGGAACACTCGTTGCTTCTGGTGAGAACGAGAAACGGCGCAGTCGAGCTGGAAGGCAGTTTGCAATTCCTCCAGAGGTCAAACGTACAGTTTCCATGGGATCTAGCAACATCAATCCCAGGTATGTACCCCAGAAAAGCGAACACAAATATCCACACAAGAACCTGCAAGAGGACGTTCACAGCAGCATTGTTCATAAGAGCTGACAAGTCGACACACTCCAGTGTCCTAGGGACTGGTGGCTGAACAGACAGACGTGCCCTATCCTGCACTGGAACATCATCCACCGCGGAGAGGACAGGATGGGTGGGCCGTGAAAACATCACGCTGGGCCAGCCAGTCACAAAAAGACCACGTACTGGGGGAAGAGCAGAATGAGGCGGCCTAGTAACAGGCATGGAGGTTTTCGTGGGGTGATGAGAAAGTTCTGAATGGAAATATAAATGATGGCTGAACAATTTTGTGACTACTAATCTCCAATGACTTTAAACTGGTAAATGAATGATGTGTATCAACATGCTTCACTGATAGAATTTAAAATGTATAACGTCTATATTACCTAATATGTGATGAAACATCATATATCATTTATAATATGAAAGAGAGAGAAGGTCCTCGAAGCGCCTTCAGGCCTCAACCAAGTCAGCAGTCACACTTACCATTCGCAGGTTTTGGGTTGTTCTCGTTTCAACCGCTCTGAGGAGCTCTCTGAACCGCCCGACTCCTCTTGTCAGATTCCTGTGGGCACACAGAATTTGACAGGGCTTCCATCTGGCGTCTGCTAATATTAAATATTTTATACACACGTTCCACTGCATTTTGTCTACATAAAAGCTGTCGGCGAGATGGTAAGCGAACCATTGCTCTGCACGTGTCTGTCCGTCTTTGCTCAAGTCTGAAAAATCTGACCTAAGATTGGTGGGCTTTGGTGCTTCCACAGTCAAAGTTTCTCAAGCAAAGAAATGCTGGAAAGCCAGATCTGAGGCAACAATTTTAAAAGGCAAGATATCTTTCACGAGTCTATCTTCCACCCCCCAGTAGCTCAGCCTACTTCATTAACTGGTGCTAAACTCCTCATCCCAGAATGGGTGGCATAAAGGTACACGAACGTGTGTAATGCAAGAAAGGCTTCTTGTGACCTGCCTTCTTTGTGGGCAAGACAAAGAACAGAGGTATGAAAATGAGGGGCTCCATCAGGCAAGCACTCTGTGTCTTCGAGAACACACACCACTGCCCAGTAAAGCCCCCTGCCCGCCCTCAGCCTAACCCCAACCCTAAGCAGGCAGGCAGAGGGTCACAGCCCCTCCCGAGCGGGCGGGAGCCCCTGGGCTGAGGTCAGCACATCTCACACACGGCCATGCACCTCGCCGTGTGGGTAGCATGTTTCGTGAAGGGGCAAATCAGGCCTGGCTTCCCCCTGACCCACACATCCAGATGCCCTGTGTCTGTCCCCTCTCTGAGGCTGTGCCCACCAGACCGGCTGGGATCACTTCCCCGCAGGTCCCTTCACATCGAGCGCCACCACCTCCTATGACATAACCCGGTGATATTTATAACCTGCTCATTAGAACACATCTCATCTTTCCAAAAAGCCAGCGAGCAGGTCAGCCGGTGCCGGCCGCGGCAGAGTCCAGGTATTCAGCTCTCTCCTTAGATGACACTTTAAATCACACAAAGGGATGAAAGCAAACTACACGTGGGTTCTGTATGCTCTGAGCACTCACGGGGCCATTAATTCGTGTCTTATATCAACGTGACATCCCAGGGCTCTCATTCACAAGAACAGCCCCAGAACTCGAAGATACTGGTTTACTGGCGCTGGGACATAAACACTCCCATAGTCCTCTCACCCACACACATCAGATGATATCAGATCAGAGGCTTTACGGTGGCATAAAAAGAAAAGCTTGTGCTCAGGACTCCAGGCAGCGCTAAAGGAGACATGAATAAAAATTAGGTAATAGGCCCTGGGACATGCAATCTATGCTGCTTTCCCCTTCATTTGCTTTTATGGGATCTGTGTTCACAGGCAACAGAGTACATTCGCTTTGGACTGAAGCTCCGTTCTCTTCAGTAGCACGGAGGGCGGCGGGTGGGGGGGGAACCAGCTGCAGCTGAGAAAGGGATGGGCAGGACAGAGCAGTGTCGTTTTAGTCCAGAATCCCAGAGTAAACTCTGAGTGGGCACAAAGAGAGGCTTCCCTGGTGGCCCGGGGGGAAGGAGTCCACCTGCTATGCAGGAAAGGCGGGTCGATCCCGGGTGGGGAAGATGCCCTGGAGAAGGAAGCTAACCCACCTCAGTATTCTCGCCTGGGAACTCCCAGGACAGAGGAGCCTGGCGGGCCGCAGTCCACGGGGTCACCGGAGTCTGACATGACTGAGCACACAGCTCGCGCGTGTTTACATGCACACGGAAACAAACCAGGGGCTTTAAACTGTGAGCGAAGGTGGCGCTGAGGCAATGTCATTGGAGACCCAGGTTTACATGGCTGTTTTTGCAGGCGGGGAGCTAGGCGTTGAGTAGGCAGCATTCAATCCAAACGCTCTAACTCAGGGGGAAGACACCAGGTGGGAGCTGGCTCTTCAGAACGTCTCCCAGGCCCTCCTCGCAGAGGGAGATACTTGTCAAGTTACAGAAACACAGAATTTTCTAGCTAGAAATGATCCCTACATGACCTAGTCCACCGTGACACAAAAGAGAAATGGCTCGTCCTGAGTCACACAGCAGTCAGAGGGCCAGCTGGGAGCTTTCTGCCAAAGCTCTCACTTTCCTGACAAAGGAAACGCGTGCTCTCAGACCACAGGACGGTGCTTGCAGGAGAACAAAACAGCAGGAACACAAGAAAGGCCTGTTTTCTTAGAGAACCAGCCTCTGGTTGCTGGGAGGAAGGACCGGGAAGGGATGGTTGGGGAGCTGGGGAAGGACATGCACACGGCTGTATGTAAATGGATCACCAACAAGGCCTGCTGTGAGCGTGGGGAACTGTGCTCTGGGCTCCTCGGCAGCCTGGGTGGGAGGGGGCGTTGGGGGGGATGGATACCCATATACATGCGGCTGGGTCCCTTCGCGGTCCGCCTGAAACCATCACGACACTGTTAATCGGCTACACCCCAATACAAAGTAAAAAGTTTACAATAAAATACTCGAGAAAAAAAGAAAAGAAGGTCTGTTTTACATGATTAATATGCAAATTAATATGTACATAATACAAATCTGATGGTTCCAGTGATCTCAGCAAATGAACTACTCCTAGACACTGGTTTATGAGACTGACGCGCTGCCTACTGCGCTAAGGAGGCAGATGACACTGGTTTAAAAACGAAGCAAGAGCCGCTGGCGCGGGAGAAGCAGCCTGGCGTCCGGGGCGAGGCGCGCCGCCGGGGCTGCGGGCCCGGGTGCAGAGCCGCCGTGGGAGGCCGGGCGGTCCTCCCGCGCAGGGCCAGCGCCCCCCGGCGGCCGCGGCAGGAAGTGCCCGTCACCGGGGACGGCGGCCACCGGGCGGGCCAGGCCGGCGGCCACGCCGGGGGCTCCCCGGCACCGCCCTGCCTCTGAGCAAATCCGCGCTCTTCTCAAACGGTTTTTTTCTGGGAAGAGCTTCGGCTGCAGAGTCAAGCGCTTCCAGAAGCCGGAGAGGACTGTGCTCGTCAAGGGAGGGGCCGCAGGAGCCGCAGCGCGGGGAGCAGCGCAGGGCTGGCAGCCGCGGGGAGGGGCTGGAGGCGGCAGGTCCACATCGTGAACATCAGAAGAGGAACAGAGTGTCCTAAATGCAGAGCAGCCAACCACCAGCAGCCCTTACACCATGCCTGTGTTTCTGTAGTCACATAATTTTATTCAAGCAGTCAGTTCCACGGTTGCCATGACGGCAGAAAAAAAATTTTTAATATAATCATGATAGAAAGAAACAGAAAAAGATTAACTTGCAAGAACTACATTCTCAAGGCTATGAAATACCCGCAATTTGAGGGAAATAAATAAAAACTACAGGGTTGCTTTCACGTCTCTAAACTATTAGTTTATTCTTACAGTGTTGACACCCGTGAAACAGCTAGAATGAGCTGCTGCTTAGAAACTCCACTCCAGAACGAAGAGAAAGACAGCCAAGGACTCTCCCGGAGTTTGAGGGTTTCCACAGACCCTTGACATGAAGTTATTTATTCCGTTTCAACACCCCTGACTGAGGGAGTGCAATGATGTCAGAATTCATTATGGGAAACGAGTCTCAAAAAAACACTCTCGCCAGCATTCGAGCAGCGGGCACTGGCGAGCGGTCAGAACTCGGGGTTCACCTCCTGCACCTCGCTTCTTGAGCTGGGAGAGCTCGCCTCCGTGGGGGACGGCTCCCAGCAGCTCAGCCCTCACCGAGGAGAAAGGGCGTGGAGTCCCTGGAGCACCAGCCCAACAGAAGGGCGGAAGCCGCCCCGTCGCCGGGGGCCCCAGTCCTGCCTTGCCGAGGGGCCCCAGCTGCAGGCAGAGCTCCCCATCCTCAGCCGTGCCCAGGGCAAGCCCAGGCGGGGGAAGGCCCACCCGCGGCCCCAGGTCTCAGTGCCCTGAGGTTGGGGCAGGAGCAGGACCCCCTGAGGACGCCGGGGGAGGGGGGGTTGGGTGGTTAGACATTGATTGGCCAGCACCGGCCCCTTCTTCATCTCCTGGGCCCTGAAATCAGCATTTCTGACGGCTGGTCTCTGAAATCTATGTTCTCATGTACAAATTTACAGCAGCGTCTGTTCATGTCCTGTTCTGCTGTGACTCTGAACCGCACACTCAGCTCTTTAATACTGTCACCTGTCTCTATGCTATCAAACCAAGGGGGAAACATGCAGGAAGGAAGCCAGAGCTCCAGAAGCAAACTCCAAACGGAAAACCAAGTCTCAGAGCAGCTCGGGGACTAGAGAATCATTTCACCTCGTGATGGACAGCGACCTCAACAGCAAGCTCAATATATTATTTTACATTACATTCATTTACATTTTCACATACACTTCTTGGGAGCCAGGTGGGAAAATACAATCCCTCCTCTTCCAATTTGTCCTTCCAAATTATCTTCTAGCCTCAGAGTTTGGCCCAGGTCACCAGTGCACTTAAATTCAATATCAACTGTCATTGTCATGCAAACTCATAGTTCTGCTGTGAATAAAATACTTTCCATACAAGATGTCAAATTCCTAGGTCATAAGGGAAAAGTTACTTGTTAGCGTAGGTTCAATATTTTTTCTCCTTGTCTGTGGTTGAAAACTTTAAAGATCAATTTTAGAACAAGTCAACACAGTAGATCTCTTAAAGCTAAGAAATCGTTAGGCTTTTTCCATGTTCCTTTTTACCAACTGGCGTTTCTGAACCTAAGTGATAAGTTATTTCATAATTACTGAGCCCCAAACTTGGGCAGGGCTTCCCCAGAGGCTCAGACGGTAAAGAATCCGCCGGCAATGCAGGAGACTTAGGTTTGATCCCTGGGTTGGGAAGATACCCTGGAGGAGGGCATGGCAACCCACTCCAGTATTCTTGTCTAGAGAATCCCATGGACTACAGTCCCTGGGGTCGCAGAGTCGGACACGACTGAGGGACTAAGAACAGAACATACTTGGGCAAACTCTGGGAGATGGTGAGGGACAGGGAGGCCTGGCGTGCTGCAGCCCACGGGGTTGTGAAGAGCCAAACCTCGTTACACGGCAGGTTCCAGGCTCATCCGCGAGGGTATGTGGTGAGCGAGGGAAAGCCCCAGGAACCACGGCTGTCTTCAC